GGCCCTACTGGTCGGCTGCAATACGGTCGGCGGTCGGGGAGTTGCGGTCGGCAGGGATGCAACCCTGATTGTGACTGATCTGTCCTTTGACACATCCGTTAAAGTTGGACCGATACAGAGAAGGAAGAATAGCATGGCCCACGTGCAAGGATGACATGAATAAATTGAGAAAGGAGCGGGACTGATGGTCTCCAGAATGGATGTTGAGCTGGACCCCTGAGGGTCTGTTTTGAGGGGGAAAAAAGAAGGAAAAGGATAAGATTACGCCGCGATCTCAGATTCTGATCCATGTCATTTGTCTGCTCGTTTGGTTCCTTACACTCTGAACAGATTCCAGTGTTAATGTCCTTATAGAGAATTGTTTTATCAGTACCGGGGATGACGCTGTGGCGATCAAGAGTGGATGGGGCAATGCAGGCCTTCGAGTCAATAGTCCAGCGACGAACATCACCATACGATCGATGATCATACGTAAGTTACTTTACCTTGCTTTTGTTTTTTTTTTGTTGTTGTATTTGCACTGGAAATCAAATCAAATGAGCTTGAGCTGCCACTATCTTTCACAGGCAAGGCTAAGTTGTACATATAACCTATAGGTCCTAAACCACATTCTTTGGAGGCTGGGCGCCACTAAAGCAAAATGGCAGGAGGCGCCAGCCAAATCCAAAAAAAGAGTCGCGCTTCCTGCCTCGGGAAAAAAAGGCTTGGGGTAGTGGTGGTTTAAAGAAAGAAAACGAAAACAAAGCGAAAAATCCAGACTGACATAACCACACAGTGTTTAGAGTCAAAGCACAATTTTTTTATTTTTTTATTTTTTTTTTGGCGAACGGCCTCGGAGGCAGCTTGAGGTGCTGGTAGGAGCAGTCACTTCAAGCTGGTCCGTGGGAGGTTCCATCTATTGGTGGGGAGCAGCACCTGCTGGGAAATGGGCCCAGCGTCTCAACTTACAGATATCATAGGATTCACAGTAATGATACATATAGGCCGCCTGATGCGGGCATACAGTCTCTGACATGCAGTGTGTATGTGTGATGTGTATGTTTCTAAGTATAAGGTGCCGTGCTGTCTGTTTTGTGGCTGCATTTAGCAGCATTGGCAATGCTGTACTGAGTCCTAGAATTTAGCAGCATTTGGCAGTGCTGTATTGAGCCCACTTCTGACTTCTGACACGAACTCTGTGTGTAGTGTGTGTGATGTGTGTGTTTCTAAGATATGGTGCGATGCAGTGTGTGGCTGCATTTAGCAGTATTTGGCAATGCTGTACTGAGTCCTAGCATTGAGCAGCATTTGGCAGTGCTGTGTTGAATCCTAACTTCTGATGCATAAACACCATAAACACCTTCGCCGCTGGCCGCTCT